CCCCCGCCCCTTTACAACCTTTGTCTCCTTCCCTGGTCAGTCAGCAGTCTACCAAGTGAAACCTGTACGAGGTTAGGCAGGGAATGTATAGGGGTTGAGATAGCAAAGCAAAGGAGATCAGGTCTCAGCTTTTAGATGAAATGGCCAGTCCCCGTGCCTGAATCACAGTGTTCTACAGTCTTTCACAAGTGAAGGGGTTGCAAGACCGATTTCATTTCCAAGTGTAGTGGGGTCAGATACATTTTTAAGTCAGAGAATGTTACTTGAAGGATCTTCTGAACTACAGGTTGAAGGCCATGAAGGAAGGATGGAAGCCTGTCATCTCCTTTGTTATCTTTTTTTTTTTTTAATCTCCATTGGCTTACTTCTACCCCGCTCTGGCTTTCACACAACCTTCTGCCGAAGTCCACTTAGAATCCTAGTTCAGAGGTCCAAGGAACCCTAGAGTGTTGCCCCTTAAAGTGCAGATTAGGATTTGATAGGCCTAGCCTGGGGTCTGAGATTTTAGAGTGTTAATGAGCTCCCAGGTGATGCTAATTTTGCATTTATGTTGACCACTTTTTTTTAATCTGGAGGAAAAGCTGGGCCTATTGCCTCATTTTATTAAGTGGGGAAACTGAAACCCAGATTGCCCAGTTTTACTCCTGGTGTTGCTTTCCTTAACACAACGCTACATTCTTTCTCCAGTGCTTTTCCATATTTAACTTGCCTTTATATATAAAATGAAGTTGCCACTCCCCATGTGGATTATTTTGATCAGCTTAGTTCTGCTGCCCTGTGTGGGTTACAGCACCAGCCCTCGGATGCCCAGTAGAGTCTTCAGTAATTATCAGTACATGCATAGGGGAGATGGAAAGTCTGAAAAGGGAAAGGATTCTAATTTTCTTGTCCAAGTAAGACTCAGGGTAGACGTCTGAGTGACCCTTTATGAATGTTTGGTGGTGGTGTCAGTTTATCTCTCTTCCTCTACTCCCAGTAGCAGAGAAATTAATTTACCTAAGTCAGTGTGTGTCCTTCCAAAAGCGAGTGTTTAGTGTTTAGAAATGTGAGTGTGCTTTATGTCCATCATCTGAATACCTTTATTTTCTTTGAAGTTTAATTCATCTGTGATATCATCAGCTGAGAGTTTTCTAACACATTGATTCCAGATTTCTGCTTTCCCTTTGAAAGGTAAAGGTGTCAGAGCATGTCTTTGGTCATCCTTAAAGAAATTGTACATGATATGAATAATAGGTGTAAATAGTTTTCAAACAGTAGTCAAGAGTAGGTGCACCCAATTTAGCTTTATTCCTGTTTGCCTGAGTTTTGAAGGATGAGATGGAAAATAGGTTTTCATCTGAGGAAAGGGAAGGACAGTAATATGTCATTTATTGAGTGTCTACCATGTGTGCTTTGCATGTATATATTTATATCTGAGTCACATGACTCATCTTTACATGTGTTGCACTTGTTTGGCAAAATGAGAAAACCAAGGCGAAGAAATGCTAAGTTAGCTGCTTTAGAAACTGGTTGCACAGACTCTAAAACTGATGCCCATTCTACTTCCTCACCCTACAGCTTTTCACTTTTATGGACTGTTTTTTGAGTGTGGTCTGAGAAACAGGTGTTTTGGAAAGAGCTGGGTGATCTGTGTTGTATAGTAGTTTATCTCATCTGCAACCAGAAGAGAGCATTGCACCTGTCCTGATTACCTTCATGGTGTTGTTATGAGATTTAACTGAAGTAATAAATGTGAAGGCATGTACTTGCACAGGCCTCCCTTGATCTACAAAGTGTTTAATACTTCTCCATCTAAAGCAAAACCCAAATCAGCTTTTTTCTTTCTTAAGCCTTCCCCTCAAGCCAGTTTTCTCTGCTTCCCTTTCTAACCATCCTGGCCCCAACCTAGCATTTCAATATATTTTTAATATATTTTTTGTGCTCCACACTTGAAACAACTGTATTGTCCCTGAATTCTGCTTGTTCACATCTCTGTCTGGGCTCGGGCTTTTGTCTGGAAGCTTCCCAGTCTACTCAGAACTTCTCTGTCATTTAAGTCCAGATCAAATGTTACCTCCTCTAGTATGCCTTCTTCTACTTCTGACTTTCCATTATCTATCTGTAGTACTGTTTTAGCTTGAGTTGCTATAACAAAGTGCCATAGCCTGGATGGCTTAAACAGTAAACATTTATTTCTTGCAGTTTTTGAGTTTGGAATGTATAAGACCAAGGTGCTGGCAGATTTGGTGTCAGGTGAGGATCTGCTTTTTGGGTCATAGATGACCATCTTCTTGTATCTCCATATGCCAGAAAGGAGCAAGAGAGTTCTTTGGGGTCTCTTAGAAAGCACTAATCTCATTTTTGAGGGCTCTGTTGTTACCACTTCCCAGAGTCCCCATCTGCTAATACCATCTTCTTGGGGGTTAGAATGTCAACATTAATTTTTCAAGGGACACAAACATCCAGTTCATAACAAGTATCTCCCTCTATTAAACCATTTGTCATTGTCTGTATGTGTGTGTGGGGGGGTGTGGTGGTGGTTAAGAGATTGAATCTAGAACCTTTGCACTGAGCTAAATCTCCAGCCCCCACCCTTCTTTTAATTTTTGAGACAACAGCTCATTAAGTTATTCAGGCTGGGCTTGAATTTGATCCTCCTACCTCAGCTCTTCCTGCCTCAGCCTCCCACTGTTCTGGGGTTATAGGCGTGCACCACCATGCCAGCTTCATTTGTCATGTTATTATATTAACTTTATAATTGTGCATATAAATATTTGTAGAATAAGAGCCATGCTTTATGTATGTTTGTGTCTCTTGTCTAAAGCATCCCTTACATAGAGGTAAGTTTGTTGCGTTGCCTTGAGGGTCTTATTAAGGAAGCCTGTTCTTTGTCATATGGATTTGAAAATTGAATGTAGATGGGTTTGGAAGGACCCCTTGTATCTGGGAGTAAAGTAACTCTTGTTTATCCAATGATTACTTATAATAACGAAGTATTTGCTTGTAAGATACATATGTATATTCTAACTATTGAGGACTCACTAAAAGAATCTTCAGGAATATAAGACAGGGTCCCATACTGAGATGGACAAAGGATTCTTCTAAGGGATGTAATGAGCATTAAATTCTTTTTTTTCTCATTGAGTTTATTGGTACATTTTAGATATACAGTACAGTTACATTGATCATTGGGACCTTGTACCTTTACATGATGTAGCTTGGTTCTTATTTTTTCCCATTCCCCTGTACATTAAATTCTTATAACAAATAATTTTCAATAATTTATATCCTTGTACTATTTTCTTTTGAATTGGATTATAGTTTCTTCTGACTAAACACAGCCTTTGATTAATGTCTGGCTTACCATGCCTACATGTGTATGCAGTCATTCTCTTCTGTGTAGCATTATAATTGCTGTGGCTAGAACCCTATGCCTTTTTAAAGAAAACTACCTCTATACTATAGGAGTCACTGTATACTTGATTGTTTTCAATATAAAATTGTCATGTTAACATGTACTAGTTTTCCTAACCCTAAATTAGGTGCTAAGCCACAGTCCCAGTGCCTATAAAGAACGGCAGGCACATATGAGATACGTAGAGTATCTCATTTAACTGTAGAACTAGATATACTTATTTATATTTTACGGATGATATAGCTGAAGTCCAAGGAGTTTAAGATACTTTCCCATGGTTAATTGTGACAGAACCAGGATTTGAACCCACATCTACCCAACCTCAAAGTATATTTTCTCCAAGGGATGTTATAGAGAAATTGAGGTTTCTCAAAAGTTTCCAGAGAATTCTGTGATGTTTTTGGTGAATTGTGTTTTAAAGAGTCCTTTTCTGATTGCAGCCCTGCCTTGGACAAAACACTGCTGAATCTGTAAGAGATGCCGCTCCCACACCAAAACTTCAAGGCTGAGACTAAGAAATTTCAGTCCAGCAAAACTGTGCCCAGTGATCGTGGCCAATCCAAGGAGGTTAGAGCAACCTGTCTTTCCCAGTAGTGTCTCATGGAGTCTCTGAACTTTGGCTTATGACCTTTCCTCACCTTGCATATTTTATTTATTTTTAATTAATTTTATTGGTACAGTTTTGATAAATCTAATGATTACATTCATCATAGGATCCTGGCATATTTTAGAATACCAGTATGCCTGGATTCATCTGAGAAATTGTGAAGAGGTGGCAGCCTTTGTAGTTGGAAAATATAAGTAAGTTAAAATTTGGAAAGAAAGTGTGAACTCTTCTGTACATACATGACTCAAATGAAGGCCATCCTCCACAACTTTAAAAAGCAAACAATATCCAGTTCTCATTAATGGTCATATTTGTACTCTTACTTTCTCTGAGAAGCAGCAAGCATCTTACCAGGAGGCTGTGCATCTTGGGGCAAATATGAAGATTGTATCAGTAAATACATTATCATGGTTTTTACAGATAAGGGTTTGAAAATCTCAAATGGAAAATTCCATGCCTGATCTCCTATGACAGAGTCATGGTAAAAATACACTTGATCTTAGCCAAAAGGCCGAGAAGTGACGTCACAGTAAAAATATAGATGCCTAAAATTACCCCCAAGCCAATTGTGTAAAGTGTATATGAAATAATAAATGAATTTAGTATTTAAACTTGGGTCTTATTCCCCAAGATATCTTGTTATGTATATGCAAATACCTGAAAATCTGAAAAAAATCTGAAATGCAAAACACTTCTAGCCCCACATATTTCAAATAAATAATACTCAAGCTGTACTAGATTTGAAAAATATGAGTACATTTTGACTGTGCTGTTTTGATGTTGCGGATAGTTTGACATTGTCATTCTGACCCTTGTATATTCCAAGTTCATTGTTATACTTTTTTTGGAAACAGTCTCACTTTGTAGTTCAGGCTGGCCTTGAACTCACTATGCAGTCCAGACTGGCCTCATACTTGCAGTGATTCTCCTGCCTCAGCCTCCCAAATGGTGGGATTACAGGTGTGCAGCACTATGCCCAGCTGCCATATATATTTTAATTTTAATTACATTAATAGTGATAAATTATCAAGAAAATGCTTCAGAGACCACACACCACTAGGCCAATTTAGTTTTTTTAGGTGGATTTTTTTCTTATGCAGAGAAATATTTTCTAGTCATTTTCTCTTTTGTTTTTACTAAAATTATTTTCATGGAAGGCTCAGATATTTTCCCCATGTAAATTATGAGGAAAAATTTGATACAATGATCAAGTTTTTTTCCATATAAAATTTTCTGATTGGAGTTCCTCCATTGTTTTCTTTTGTGGCATTTATTTTTCCGAACCCAACTTTTTGGAGCACATTTCATAAATTTTAATTTTATATATTCAGTTTCCACCATTAATTGTATAGTGGGCCAGCTGAGTGTGGTGGTGCACGCCTGTAATCCCAGCACTCGGGAGGCTGAGGCAGGAGGATCACTGTGAGTTCAAAACCAGCCTGGGATACATAGTGAGTTCCAGGGCAGTCTCAACTATAGTGAGACCCTGTCTCAAAAAAACAACAAACAAACAAACAAAGAAAAACCCCAAAAAACAAAATAAATTGTATATTGGGCCAATTATCTCTGCCAGTAATATTAAGTGGGAATTGGACAAGTTTATTTTTAGGCAGTTTGTGAGAAAATATTTTATTTTTGTGAGAAAATGTTTTATTTCTCTTAGGATTATTTATCATGATCAAAGTAAAAGACTAACATTTACCTACTTCTTAGCCAGTTAACACAGAAGTAATTCTTTTCAGATCTTCAGGATTTCTGGAATTGGCTGTTGTATTGTGAATCCAATTTTCTAAATTTCCAGTAACTTATTGTACTAACCGTCAATGGATGGTCAGGTCCCAGTGTCCTGCTTCAGTAGTAAGAACTCTCAATATATGTAAGGCAGGATTTGTTCTCAGGATTTTATAAGGGAGGTCTGAGAATTAGTAGACTTTCACCAAATAAAAGCTGTTAAGGATAGAAGAGCCTAACAGTGTGATAACTTCTAACCTCGTAGAGATGATCTTATTCCTTTGGGAGTGGGATAAGTCATGCGTAGATAAACAATAGGTAGAAAGAAAACCCCCTCGGCTGTAGAATATTCACTTCTCTCTCCTTCCCTCTTTCATGTCCATTAGCAATTAGAGTAATTTGGAGTGCCAAACATTTTTTTAAAATACAAAAATTTCCATGTGAGATTTATAGTCACATCAGACTACAAATACTATTTCTGTTCATTTATAGTTCGTATAGACTTCTTTTGTACAGGTTCTCACTATGTAGTTCAGGCTGGCCTTGAACACACGATGTAGCCAAGGCTGGCCTTGAACTCATTGTAATCCTCCTGCTTCAGCCTCCCAACAACTGAGATTATAGGTATGTTTCACTATTCCCTGCTAGACTTTTAAAAAATATATTCTCTTTTTAATTCTTAATTCTATGTAAAGTAGTTAACATTCCATTTTTACTGATAAGAAAATTGGGGCTCAAGACTAAATAGCTTGTCCAAAGGCAACAATTAGTAAAGAGCTAGTTCTGGACTAATATCTAGGAATGTGTACTATTATTTTTCATTTGTTTAAAATCTGCTACTTTAACATAAGTCCTGCTTAAATATTTCTTAAATTATTGAGCAGATTTACCTGAAAGTACCCATATTAAAGGAATGACTAGGAGTCATGGTAGTTAACTTTGGATAATATGATAAATAACCATAAATATGAGAAGAATTAGAGGGAGAATTAGCCTCCTCAACCTGTAGCAATCATTCTGAAAGTTACACTGAAGGTAATCTTATATCTTCACAGTCTTGTTTCCATCATCAGTGAAGCTCTGAGTGCCAGAATATCTTTTAATTGTAGTTTATGGGATCTGCTATATGTATTCTCAGTTTTCCCAACCACTGAAGATGACCCAAAGTTCCTGAAAGTGGACTGTTCACTATTAGATATACCCATTTACTTTTTTAAAAAAACTAAATTTTATTTTATCCCACCCCCCGCAGCAGGCCCCTTGTCCTCCTTATGTACAAATGCTTTATTTCCATTTTTTCCTCCCATTTACTTCTTTTACTTTTTCAGATGGGAGAGAATTACCAAGTGAAAATATCTCCATCCTCACCTCAGGGGACGTTCAAAAAGAGATCAGCTTTTGAAGATCTCACAAATGTGAGTATGCTAGTTCAGTTCTTTGCTATGATTTTGCACGAAGCTTACATAGTCTCTTCCTTGAAGAAGCTCTTCAGTTTGCCAGACCCCTGACCCTCCCTGGGGTGTTGAGAGAAGATTTTGTTTAGAATCAATGACCCAATTTCAGAAACTACAGGGCCTCTTCTGTAACACATACAATTTACATTAATTGGTAGAGTTCTCAGGAACAGTAGATAGTGTGATTAATAGGTATAAAATTGCATATAACTATGAGAACAGTGGGATATTGTCCTGTATTTAGGTAAAGTCCAGCAGTGGCCCCGCTGGCCACCTAGGATTTGGAGGTAACTACATTTGTGGAATCATATTAGTCTAGGGCAGTGCTTATCAATTCAAGCATTATGGACATTTTGGGCTGGACAATTTTTCTCTTGTGTAGGACTGACCTCATTTGACATCTATGTCACCCAGGCATTAAATTACAGCATTAGTCCAGTCATAGTGACAACCCAAAATACCTCCTGAATATACAGATCCATTGAAAGCCACAGTTCAAAGATCTGGTCTTTAACTATGGAAATCTAGAATCTCAATTTAACTGGAATTCTTGAGTTCATGTCCAAGTTATCTGCCCTCTGGTATTATAAAGGTACTAGCAAAAATCAGAATACAATGTTGCTAATTGAGCATAGAGTTATGCCAGAGGTAGTAGTCTAACAAAATAGTAATGACTGATGGCTACTGAGTGCTTACTGTATGCCAGGCTCTAGTGTAAGCACTTTTCCTATGTTAACTCAATCCTCGTCTAAGTCTATATAGGAGTTCTACTCATCTCTACTTTACAGATGAGGACTTTTCCAATGTTGGTTTTAAAGTTTTTTCTCACCTAGGCTACAAAGAAGCCTGATGAGTTATCCTTGCCATCTAAAATAGAGTATTTGTCTTCCAAAATACTTGTACCTACAAGGTAATGTTTTACCCCATTGTCAGGATTGGATAAGCATTGGTAGTTATCTTTTTGAATCCCTGCTCTTTAGATGCTGTGTGCTATCTTTCCGAAATGTAGTCTGTCCTCCGTGCTGATTATAGCACATAGGTTAGCTTTCTGCATGATTTCAGATTTACTCTCAATTTGTGGAAAGAGCCCCCTCATACAACCATATGTGATGTTAGGTTCATTTCTTGGCTTAGTTAACTATGGATCTAGAAAGTTGGTTGACATAAGGTGTCCACATACATCAGGAAATGAAAAGATGTGGTTTATCTTAATGTAACTTTGCTTAGCCCCCCAGTGTCTGTGATAGGAGTGCTGTGGAACTGTGCAAGTTGTCTTTCTCCATTTAGGCTCCTATAACATAATACTTCAGACCAAGTATCTTAAAAACAACATAATTTTATTGCTTGCACTTTTGAAGGCTGAGAAATCCAAAATCAAGGTGCCAGTGGATTTGCTATCTTATAAGGGGCCATTCCTCATAAATGGTACTGTCTACCTGTGTCCTTATGTGGCATTGAGGTTATTAGGACCTTGTTCATGGCATATCTTCACCCTATTTCCCCATCTTCTCCCCCTTACCCCTCTTCCTTGGTCCCCTGCACTCCTTCCCATGTGCAAGAGATCCATCCCCTTGTCTCACTCTCTCCTCCTTTTATTTTTCTCTTAAATTTGTACTTTGACTTACTCAAATGAGTTATACCATATAGTATTAATGTTCATGTGTCTGATTTATTTCACTCAACATTATATTTTCCAGGTGTATCTATTTTCCTTCAAATGGCTCAAATTTGCCCTTCTTTATAGCCAAGTAGTATTCCATTATATATAGATACCACATTTTCTTTATCCAATCATTTGTTGATGGGTATACAGTTACTTCCTAGATTTATCTATCATTGTGCTGCTATAAACACTGGTGTGCATGTATCACTGTACTATGATGTCTTAAGCTCTTTGGGGAAGATACCTAGAAGGGTTAACTGGATCATATGGAATTTGTAATTTTTGTTCTTTGAGAAATCTCCACACTGATTTGCACAATGGTTGTACTAGTTTACAGTCCCATCAACAATGCAAGAAGGTTCCTTTTTCACCACGGCCATGCCAGTATTTGTTATTTTTTGATTTTTTGATATTTCCATACTTTTTGGAGTAAGATGTAAACTTAGCATTGTTTTAATTTATATCACTCTAATGGCCAGAGATGTTGAATATTTTTTTCATTTATGTGTGTGTGTGTGTATACATATATATAGAGAGACATGAAATCTTCACATATGAACACACACATGTACATTTTAAAAAGAAACAATCTTGATTTATATAATGGTTCCTTTTAGTCACCTAAACTTTGCTAAACTCATTTCCTCTGAGTGACAGAGAATAAAAAGAGGAAATTACTTTAAAATTTTTTTAATTTATTTTTTTTCAGTTTTTTTCCATTAAGTTTATTGGTACATTTAAAGCAAATAATACAGTTACATTCATCATTGGGATCTAGCGCCTTTACATAATATGTCGTGGTTTTTACTTTTCTTCTATTTTTTTAATATATGTTTGGTTTATTTTTTGAGACAGGGTCTTGCTATGTAATTCAGGCTATCCTTGAACTCAATGTGCAGTCCAAGCTGACCTTGACTCTCAGCAATTCTCCTGCCTCTGCCTCCTGAGTATTGGGATTACAGATGTGCACCACCATGCCCATTTTTATTTTATTTTACTTTTTATGTATTTGTTGGCCATTATAGTTCTTCCTCTGTCAAGTGTCTGTTTCACTTGTCCATTTTGTCACTGGGTCTTTAATTTTAGGTGGTCTAATAATTTTGAGTTCTTGATATTTTCTAGGTAATGGTCCTTTGTCTGAGGAGCAGCTGGCAAAATTTTTTTCCCATTCTGTAGATTGTCTCTTTACTCTGCTAACTGATTCTTTTGCTCTGGAGATTTTTAGTCTGATATAATCCCATTTGTTGATTCTTGCTGTTATCTCTTGTGCAATTGAGGTTCTGTTTAGAAAATCCTTTCCTACATCTATGTCTTCAAGTGTTTTGCTTATTTTATCTATTTATAAGGTTTAGTGTTTCTGTTTTAATGTTTAGATCTTTCATCTATTTTTTTCAGCTTTAATTGAGTTTATTGGTACATTTTAGGGATACAGTACAGTTACATTCATTGTTGGGATCTTGTACCTCTACATGACAAGTCTTGATTCTCATTTATTCCCCTTACCCCTACCCTCCCTTCACCCCCTCCTCCCCTCCCCATCTACAAACACTTTATTTCCATCTTTTCATTATCTCACATTTTTTTCTTTTCCCTTATTACCCTTCCCCTACCCATCTCACCTTCCCTACACCTTTAGCTCCTTTCTTCCCATTTCTAAATGTCAGTAATCTTATTAGGATCTTCTGTATTATTGCAGATTATTCACACTAGAGAAACTATTTGGTATTTACACATGTGTGACTTATTTATTTCACTTAGGAGTATATCTTCAATATGTGTCCATTTTCCTATGAATGAATCTATTTTCTCATTCTTTATGGCTGAGTAATATTCCATTTTATAGAAATTTAGTGTATGGTCAGCGATAAGGGTCCAGTTTCAATCTTCATACAATTAATGAGTTTTCCAAGCACCACTTGTTGAATAGGCTCTTTCCTCCAACATATGCTTTGGACCCTTTTGTCAAAGGTCAAATAGCTGAATGTTTCTGGGGAGGTTTCTGTATCTTCTGTTCTGTTCCACTGATCCAGGTATCTGTTTTTGTTCTAATACCATGCTGTTTGTTTGTTTGTTTTTTGTTTTTTTGAGACAGGTCTCACTATGTAGTTGAGACTGACCTGGAACTCACTAGGTAGCCCAGGCTGGTCTTGAACTCACAGAGACCCTTCTGCCTCAGCCTCCCGAGTGCTGGGGTTACAGGTGTGCACCACCACACCTGGCTTACCATGCTGTTTTTGTCACTATTGCTTTGCAGTATAGCTTCAAATCTGATATTGTAAGGCCTCCTGTTTTATTCTTGTTGCCCAGAATTGCTTTTGCTATTCTGGACCTCTTCTGGCTTCATATGAATTTTAGGGTTGTTTTTTGTCATTCTGTAACGTATGCTGTTAATATTTTGATTGGGACTGCATTGAATCTGTATATCAGTTGCAGGAATAGGATCATTTTGACAATATTGATTCTGCCTATTCAGGTGCAGGGAGCATCTTTCCATTTTCCGAAGTCCTATTCAATCTCCTTTTTCTGAGCACTGTAGTTTTCTTTGCAGAGATCTTTCACTTTCTTGGTGGGGTTAATTTCTAGGTATTTGATTTTTCTTGAGGCTACTGTGAAGGGTATTGTTTTCATAACTTTCTTCTCATCCTATTCATTATTGGTGTACACAAATGCTAATGATTTCTGCTTGTTAATCTTGTATCTGACTATGTTGCTGAAGTTGGTTATTAATTTTAAGTTTTTTAATGGAGTTTTCTTGGGTCTCCTATGTAGAGTATCATGTCATCTGCAAATAATGATAATTAGAGTTCTTCCTTTCCTACCTGTACCCCTTTTATTCCTTTCTCTTGCCTGATTGCTCTGGCTGATTTTGTTTGTTTATTTGTTTTTGTTTTTTTGAGGTAGCATCTCGCTATGTAGTTCAGGCTAACATTGAACTCATTTTGTAGCCCAGGTAGGCCTCGAACTCATGGTGATCCTCCTGTCTCAGCCTCTTGAATGCTGGGATTACAGGCAATGTGCCACCACACCTGGCTTGGCTAATATTTCAAATATTGTGTTGAGTTGGACTTGTGATAGTGAGTATCCTTCTCTTGTTTTAGATTTTAGGTGAAATGCTTTTTGTTTTTCCCATTTAGTGTGCTGCTGGTTATTAGTTTGTCATATATATCTTTCATCAAATTCAGGTATAGTTTTTTTGCACTTGTTTTCTTCAGGATTTTTATCATGAAGGGATGAGATTTTGTTGAAAGCCTTTTATGAATCTATTGATATGGTCATGTGATTTTTTACCTTGCTTCTG